TATATATATATATATATATATATATATATATATATATATATATATAAAACATATAATTTGTTTTGAGTTGCTTTCACGGCCACTCTTTTTAAGAATAACAGTAAAATGAACAAGATAAAAACAGTTCAATTTTATTTTAAAGATACAGCACTAGAACTACAAAAAAGATAAAGAAAATCTGATATTCATTGAAAACGACAAGCAAAGCATACACGTGCCAATCGGTATTCAACATTTTAATTCGCTGAAACTTTTGTTCCTCCGAAAGACAAATATGAAATATGCTGATGCAAAGGAGAGAAAGGAAGATAGATCTAACATTGATGAAGAGTTTGTGAAGGATTTTGTAAACAAATGCCAAAAATTTCTACTCAAAAGAAAAAGAATTTTCAGAAAAATCAAAAATTATCTTTCGATGAATTTGCAAAACAAAGAAAAAAACAGGAACTGATGTCTTGTTCATTTAGTATACGAACAAACCACTAAGAAGACAAAATCACTTTTTAAAAATCATTTTAGATAGAGAGCACCCAGTTTTAGATCATCCACTTACCATCTATTAAAGGGGTGGTGCTTCAACCAAATAAAACAAATGATTGAAAAAAATTCATCTAATATTCATTCGAACCGTTCGAGATGGGTTTTAAGATGGTCCAAAAGAATGCTAAATTCATTACGAAAAATTTCAAATCTCAATGTCAATGAATTTAAAGAAAAAAAATAATGTTCGCGAAGTATAAAAAATATATAAAAACAAACGATGAGGATAAAAAAAATTTAGGTTCTGTGAATTCGGTCCAGGAAAGCTAGAGATAACCAGTTTTAGACCTCCGCTAAACGCCACAATAACCTCAATATTACGCAGCAGTTTTATACAGATGGTAGTTTGATGTCTCCCTCAATAACTATTGATTATCCGTATCAGTTTCCAAATTGATACTTTCACCAAACTTCCCATAAAGTATCGATTTTAAGGAATCCATTTCGTCGCAAATTTTTTTATGCTTTTGTGTAAGATCAGCCACTCGATTTTCCAATTCTCCTTTCACATTTTCGAACTTCTCGTTCAATCTTTCCTATGAAATAAACAAACAGCATAACGAAGTATAACTTCCCACAAAATTTAGACCCCAATATTAGGCTCCGAAAAATAACTGTTTTGCCTACCTCACCCTTAAAACGAAGTTCAGAAGGCTAAAAAAGAAACCATGCAATCAACACTCTTTCCGACTTCTACCATCCGGTACATAATGTAAGCATAATGAGTGACTCAGTCATTATCTTAGGAACAAACAGCTACAGATGAGAAATGTTATCCAGTTTTTAATATAACAGCAGGTTATAATGACAGTGTATGAGAATACATTACTCACTTGATCCATGTGCATAAACACTGATCCAATCTTAAACGGCACCGACTGGGCATCTGCATCATCCAAAAGTAGCAGCTCATCAGCGGCATCATTCAAATTTTGAAGATCCCTACTCGTTTCCTGAAGTCTTTCCTGAAAAAATATGCAGTAAATTTCACACATTAAGAAGCAAGATATAGCAATATTTGGGTCTTGAAATCTATTTAGAGGTCTTGAAATCTATTTAGTTAATATCAATAGGCACAGGGTAATATCAGTAAATTAACAGTATTTCGTCAAGGAGAGCAGAATTTGAGGTTGCACAGACCATTATACGAGATTAAGACTAGTTTCTCGAAGATGGACTGAAATCTATATAAGTTAAGTCAGGCCGCATTGAAAAAAGCCTCATAGGTCAGACTTCAATGCATTAATTAAGGAAATGTAACCTATCTTACCTTTACATCTAGCGACCTCTGATGAAGTCGGGCGAATCGATTGATCAATTTCTGGTCCTCGGCATTCACATGAATGTTTTGTTTCACTGTACCCGCAGCCATCTCAGTAAGTACGCAACTGACTAAAAAGTAAGAATGGCTAGGGCCTCCAGACTCCGCACAACAAACCGTAAAAAAATTTTCACAAGTTCGCTGAGAATGAGTTCGAGAAAATACGGCCAACCACCAAATACCGAGCATGAAAGCCCATAGAGTCCCAGGAAGGTAGGCCTACTGCCATTCCATTCCGCGGACATGTCTTTCCTTTTTTCCTTCTGTTCTCTCCGGTCTCTGCCACAACCTCGTTTCTCCAGTGCATTTGGTGTATTTTTCTTGAAGTGTCATAATTTACAAATCCTGAAATCATGAGAGCAGAGGATCCCGAGATTTCTTAAATATTGATGCTATACAGCACGTCGAGTAAAGTGGAAGGATTGAATGGGGTGGGTAGTTTAGAGTTCAGAGAGCAGGGAGAGACTTGGTTTGGATTAAGGTTGAAGTGTAACTGTGTACATGTGTAATAAAACTGTATGTGTGTTCGATTCTGTTTGTTGTTTACCCCATTTCGTTAGTTATTTTGAATCTGTATATTTCGGTGTACATATAGCAAACCTAATGCTGAACTAGCTTCGTCAGTTCTGGTTGTTAAATCGGAATTAGGCTTGCTTGCCTCCACTTTTAATGAACACTTCTATTACAGGCTGTTACAAAATTGGGAAGAATTTACTTTGCAGTATGATAAAAAAATTTACCTATCCGATTCCAACGGATGAAACGCCCTCCTCGAGAAGATATGGACTATTTGGATTAAAGTATTGTGAGGAAATAATTAATGTAAGATTAGTCTTTTCTTTTTTGAATCAGCTTTTCGTTATGAATAATTCTGACTGTCTCCTTGTTGAGAAGCCGGAAAAGTGATCTGATACGTTTCTGGCAACAGGTTTATTTCACTAGTTGTGTGCCATGTTCTCATTTTCGTCAATGACAAAAAATAGAAGCGTGGAAAAGCGAGAAAGACAATAGCATATAAAATAAGAAAGTTGAAGTGCAGAGTTCCTGATCGGTGGATTTGTTATGGTTCTGAGTAGATTCTTTTTAATAAAAGAAAAGAATTTTTTTTTTAACAACTTTTTTTTCTTTTAACATATTTGCTCCTTTGTACCTACTGTGGTATTTTAATCACTAAAACTGCATAAGATCCGCTTTATTTAACATACTTGGCATGTTTTTTCGTTTAGTGTTGTCACGCATCATTTTGCCAGTTTTAGTTGTTTGGTATCACTTTTGAACTCTCACTTGCTATGTGTCAATCCTGTGTTATATACGTTTACATTATGATGTTTAGGAATGATTAAAACTTGGTAGTAGTCTCATCTTGAAATACCAGTGGATTTCATCATGATCTTACGAAAAATTATCTGCCACGAAAATAAATATCTTCGCTGTATAAACTCATTTACACAACCACACATGCTTCTCTGAATAAATGGTGGGATGGAACAAAGCAGGCTTGTGTGATCCTTCGTATAGGAAGTTGCAATTCAATTTTTTCGCTTATTAAAAAGGAGGAAATCCCCAAGGACGTGCAAATCTAGAAGTGCGATCTGTTCCTACGTTGAATTATTTAAAAAAATGAAAAGCAATCTCAAATGGAAGGTTATTCATGTTTTATCCTGTACACCATTTGGAAGTGTCATTATGCTAGAAATGATCTATAGATCAGCGGAATGTGTTGCTTGTTCATTTCACTACTGCATCCTCTGCTTGTCTTTTTTTTACACCGTGAAAGTGATTTTCTCCTCAGGCTACATGCAGCACTGCATTAAATATGTTCTCAAAAGGGATAATTTGTCTGCTCCTCATACTTTAAATACATTATTCTACAAAAAATAGTCTCTTACTCTTCTTTTGGACTATTTAGAAAAATTCCTCACATCATTATTTTCTATGACAACTTGGAAGAGCTAAAAATATTAATCAATATTTCAAATTTAGAAACTATTTCTTTTCTGTAAAAGTCGAGGTATTTGCTCATTGATTGCTTCTTTTTTTTTTCTTTTTTTTTTGGATGGATTTACTGAAGACTAAATAAAATGTCTTTTTATTTACAAACATGAGTGTTATGATCTGGTTCGCCTTCAAATCTCATAACTTCCCTATTTTCTAATTTACGTAAAAAATTGAAATAGTTGTTGATTTTCAAAAGAGATGGATGTGAGGTTCATGAATCATGTCAAATACTTGAATTTAAATGTGTGTAAAAGTAACCTTTTATGACCGGATTAAACAACTGAGATGGAGGTTCATTTGAACAGTTGGTACCTTTAGATGTTGATTCATTTAAAAGAATGATGTTACTACTCATTGTACTCAGTACTTCTACTTGAAGTGCAGTGTTAGTTATCTTGGTTACATTTTTATCTTATTTCATACCACAATACGTCTTGTTATGTGCACATTTTAGCGGGTTCGATTAAGCGCAGCGGTGCTTTTATGGATTAACAAATTTACTACATTTAAAGAGTTAGTGTAGTATCAGACAACAGTATTGAAGGAGAGGAATGAAAGGGCGAGTAACAACTTTCGGATTGTTGTTAATCATGGAAATGCTTAATTGAGAGTGAGCGCTTTCATGAACATTCAGGGGGTTTTTTACCGAAACAATTCTACTGACAAGGGGTTGTCAAGCAGTACATAAGGGGTGCGGGATTTTTCATTTTTTTTCATTCAACACTTTTTCATTCGTTCTGCTTTAACAACATATCAAATATCTTGTCATTCCAAATATTTAGCTACACTAGTAGCAATCAGCAAAGTATATCTTGTGTACTATTATTTCTTTTTTTGAAGCTGCCTTCCAAGCAGTGGCCAGTATCTTATGAATTTATGTTTGGGGAAATATTAATGCTGCTTCTATCAAAGGTCTCTACTCAATTCTTTAGAGACTCAACTTTTTGAGCGGTTTATCCGGGGCGTTGTGTCATTACGAGTACTGTTTTGGTAGTGCTTGCTGGAAGTGACGCTTCTGTGTTTTATCGATATTTTCCTAAATTTTGTTCCAGTTGAACTAATCAGTTTTGCTGTTGGTTGCGTATTATTTACGTATTCATCTGCTCAATTTCCTTATGCTGTATTTTTTGAAATTTAATATTTTCGTTCACCACTTTTCTGTTTAATTTTTTATTATGTTTAAGAGCTGTTTCTCACTTTTTTTTTTGGAAAGTGAAGGCGGTTGTCTCGGTTTGCGACAGCCACAATTGGTGGTAATGGTGGTAGCAGTAGTAATAGTGGTGATAGTAGTTATAATAGTCTAGTTGACAACTAGAATGAAATCTATAGTTTATTCTTAATTCATTTAGTTTCGCAAGTTTGCCTTAAGCGTTTAAGGCTTTTAATGTTTTTAAATTTTTTAATAATAGAAACTTATATTTCACATAATAATGGGTTTTCAACTCTTGCGATGCGACTTCGCTACATTTTGTATTGTATATGGTCTCAGGTGGTGGCGTAGTATGTTATTTATTCATTATGAAAAACATTGAAAGCCATTAACAATTTTTTCATTTACTTTGCAGGAGTCTGATTATGAGATAAAATTGATATATGCCGCAGGAACTACCTCCAGGAATAATACTGTATGTGCACGGATAATAAATGGTAAAGACTATCATTTTCATGTTTCTGTGTTATTGGAGGTGCTTGAAACAAGAACGCTTTTAATGGTAATTTTTTACCATTTAGGTCTCTAGCAGTTTCCTTCGTCGGCAGCTGAATTTCCCAGATATCAATGAGTGACATGGTTCCCCTCTAATTTGGGGAAACTTTAGTTTTAAAGTTGAGTACCTACCCCTCTTGTAATAACGAAGTTAATATTTTTGGAAACAAGTTACTGTTATTAAAGTTGTCCGGCAGTCAGTTGCTGAATTCTTTTACACATATTCTTTTTAGACTTAAACAGAATTAGCAAGGTTCCGAGGCATCTGAGAAAACTGTTCCGGATTTCTCTACTTTCCGTTATTACTTTCATTGTGTTGTTCATCTTCTGTACATATTCCTCGGAACACTCAACAGATACAGCATATTGGATTCAGGAACCTATTGCTTATCCATCGGTTGCTTTTGATACCTAATTTCTATCTGCAAAGTAATAGAAATAGCTGACTTAGCTCTCTAGTTCGAGTTAGTATGTGGAAAAGAATGAAACTGGTCATGCTTCTGTGGAACTGAGTGCAAACAGGGAGACTGCAGTTACTTGCAACTGCAGTCTTATGTTAATCTACACAGGCACTCTTAAACTTATATGTGCTCCTATTTCACCTGAAAATTTGATTTGTCATTTGGGGTAGCACTCACTTAAGCTTACCGCATAGCCTTGATTTTGTCATGTGAAAGTGAACATTTTTGTCGAGTTTACACGTACTCCGCTTTCTAACGTTTCTTTGAAGCACACTTTTTCTGCTTTCACCTTCAATCTTTTTAAATGGATTTACTCTATATTTCCATATTTTCCAGTTGCCTCATATAATAGTACTGGGTGCTGATACAGCTGAGATGTGGAAATCAGCCACTCGAAGTCACAACTTTTCCAGAAAATTCGAGCAGGTGTTAATTTTATTTTTCTCGGTAAGCTGCCGATAATCTAGTCGACAATGACACTGTGCATGTTTGCTATAATGGATTATTTTTAAGGAGCTTTTTAGTGGTATATTTACGTTTTGTTCGACATTCATTCGTTCCACCAGAGATACACAGCAGCAGTAAAATAGGGAGCGTATTCTATGCCTTTTTTTTTGCGTCAAACATAAATTTGCCTTAAAGAATGAGTTTCTAGGCATGCCGCATCCCGAAATTAAATATCAATGGTAGTGAAGTTATTGGGTTCTTCCACCATGTAGATATGCTCGATTGTGCTAAGAATAAAGAAAAAGAGTGGGCTTATGTTGACGAGAAGGGACTGTTCACCATATCATCTGATGCTATCAAGTAAAATTAGTTTGATCATTATTTTTACTTTACTTTACAGTAACTTTTAAATTGATTCCCATGCTAAGTTTCCCTTTATCTTTCCTTAAGCTGAACGATTTTTGAAATTTTATAGACACCATGGTGATATCAAATGTATTGTTGCATATTTCGAGAGAGTTAATGACAATGAGTTGAAAATTGACCATCAGATTCCGATTACATCTGGTAGCCCTATGATCAAAGATTACGCTATTGTAGAGTGCTTTGGAGATGATCGAGAAAAGTGGTTTGTTTTCTTCGAGAATAGACTTTTTGAAAGCCTAGCTGGATATCTTTCTCAGCTTCTGACTTATAATTTCCTAACGGATCGTTTTCTATTACGTCCTTTAGTTTTCATTGCGGTGTGATTTAAATATACAATAGAAATACTTGTGGAAAGGCTGTTTACTACTAACTCATATATGATTTTTCACTGCAGTCCTAGTTTGTGGGAAGAATTGTGAGGTGCTTACATTTAATTTCTTTATGATAATTTTAAGAAACCATCAGTGATGCTGATATTTTAAAAAACCATCAGCATTTGAAAAAAATATTTTATTTGAGTTTTTAAGGTTCATCACACATCACTGTCGATGTGTATGCCCCGGGGACCAGGAAATGTTTTCTGTGCTTACAGGGCGGGCGAAGACCCCGTATGAATCATGAAACTTCGTGATCATTACCATTTATGTAGAATTTGAATATCAAAAACTGGAAAGAAAACTGTACTCAATTTATAAAACTTTTTTGAAGGAAACATTTACTATGGACAATTGTTCCTGATCGGAAAAAAGAGGAAGATTTGTCTTATATCAAAAAACCTTCCGACTGGTCTGGTCTTGACGTTTATTTCATAGGTGTGGACATATTCGAATTTTTTGCTAGAAATATGCAACATGTGTTTATGTTTCTTAGGAAACAAAAATACCACTACATTTTTATAGGCTTCGATTCATTATCTCAGATGTCATTTCGCCGTAAACTACCGAAAACAGTCAAGTATATTGAAGAAGAATTCGATGCAGTTGTGCTTGATGGTATGCAGCGTTCCTTTAATAACAATATCGAAAAAAAAGAAAACGTTTCTTTTATTTACGGGTAGGCTTCCGAACTACAGCTTACTAATCTAGTGAAGACACTGAATCTTTATCAGTGTCCCTGTTGTGTCATTTTCGGATGCCGTGCTGCCTTGAATAACCGGATATTTCTGATGATCTAGCGATAACTCATTTTCATCAAAAACATTCAAAATAAATGTGAGTATGGACAGTTTCAGTTATTTCATTTAGTTATGAGGGATTCAATATTTTCAATTCCGTTAACTTTTTAAGGATACAACATTGTTGGAGATGGTACCCCGCAGGCATTCATACCAATTTTAACTGGACGGACGGAAGAGGAGCTTCCTCTCACACGGTCAATTTTTGTTATATCCGATAAACTGGCCGTTTTTTTCATTTTTCTTCTTTTGTTTTAGCCCTGCGCAAAAAGCATACCTGTCCACTCTTTCACATGTTGATAAAATGTTTTTCTTTCAGTGATCTTAAGTTGTGAAGTTAAAGTTACTGACACTTTTATCTGGTTACATTAAGACTTCTACGAAAAACTTCTGTTGCCCTTTGCATGCTATTGATCTGAGAATGTTTCTCTTTTTTGGAAGTCTGCATGGATTGATTTTTTTTCTCTTGAAAAAGTGGTTCAAATGTGAGATATTTCGAGTGTTCTTTTTACTAACTAACACAGATTAAGAGTTTAATAACTGGAGTTATGTATATATTATAGCAAGCGTTTCGCAGAGGCAAGTTATGTTGACGAAGTGTATCCATTTATATGGAAAAATTTTTCCGAAGCCGGTTATATAACTTTGTATGCGGAAGACTCAGCAAAACTTGGAAAGTTTACGTATCGTTTGAAGGTAGGAATTTTTTTTTTCGAATTACTTTATTTGCCCGCATTAATTTAAAAGCAAAAACTTGAAAAACATGCTGTAAATCGAGATTTATGTGATTAAATTTTTTAGGGTTTTAAACACCAACCAACCGACCATTATGTGCGGACATTTTTTCAAAGAGCCGAGGATATGTTCTCCAATTTGCAGTGTTTGGGTTCGGTGCCAATGCACAAGGTTTTTTTTCTGTAATTTTGCTCAGTTTCTAGTTTTTATTTTTCTTCCGGAAATCGTAACATATTTTGAGTGAATCAGCGACTTTCTGAAATGAGAACTTCCAACATTTCAGTTCCGACATTTTGCAAGAAGTGGTGATACGAAAAAATTTTTGTACGGTCAGGATGACCAATAATGCACTGAGCAAAAAACAATATATTTAAAAAGTGAAGTTGGATAATTCATTCACTCATCAGTAATATATGTGTTTTGTATTTCGGTACTTCTGAAATATTTTGCTTTCTATACTTCATGTGTTTTAGGAATGGTTTCGATATACTGATGAGTTCATGGAGAGGTACGGATATAACACATCGAAGTTTTTGCTTGCATTTCATAGCGTACTAAGTCATGATGATGTTAATTTGGTGGAAGTCGCTGATGAGGATACGATGTTGAATCTCAAAAAATTAAAAGAGAGTGGCGCTCTTGATAATGCCTTAGTCATTGTGATGGCCGATCACGGACATCGTTTTGCGAAATTTCGTGCCACTCATCAAGGTGCGTTCGGATGAAAGTTCTGAGTTTTTGAATATCTTGAAATATTTGAATAGTTTTTGAATATCTATTGAAAATTTTCAGGTTTATATCTGTCTATTCATTGGTCAGAAATTTTTAGGAAGATAATGTGGATGTACAATTTTAAGGGCAGCTGGAGGAAAGGCTTCCATTTTTTTCCCTCTCACTTCCGAAGAAATTCAGAGAAAGTAGTAGAGGAAGGACAGCTTGGAAGAACTTGAAAGCTAATAAAGCAAGGTTTGTTATTTGAGAGTATTCACTTAGATTTTTCCCAGTATTTTCCTTTTCTTTCTTTTTTTTGTTTGTTTAACGTTGTTGTTCAAATGATACAATTTTTAAAGAAGGCACTAACTGTATTTTATCATTTGCACATTTCTTTTGCTTGTGCTGAGTTTTAGTTCTATTTAGTCATGTTAGGACATTATAGTTTTACTGGTTGTTTAATTCACGTGTAGTATTTCATATACGAAACTCATTTCAGACTAGTAACTCCGTTCGACATACACGCTACATTACTTGATATACTTCACTGGCCGACAGAACTGGAGTTGAATACTATGGGTGACGTAAAATTCCGTTCCTTATCACTTTTTAAGCCGATTCCTCCTTCAAGGACCTGTGAAGAGGTTATTTTTGAGTATTTCGTTTATACTTAAATACAATATTATAGAGATGCATTTAACTATATTGTTTGCATTGATGAATTATTCATACATATGCTGTGGTCAAAAATTATATTAATGGCTATATAATCATTGGATATATACGAATCGATATGTGTTGAAGTGCTTTTTATGATTCCATTGTACCTGATGTAATACTTCCATTATATTGTGTGTATATCCCGATTTTTATGTGACCTTTTCCCGGAAAGGTGATAGTATTCAAAGAAGAAAAGAGGATTTCATTTTACATGTTGTAGGCTGGTATCGAAATGCACTGGTGTACATGTTTGAATTGGGAATCAGCTATGGATGATAGAGAACAGATAAATATATCTACGATCTTAAGTAAAGCTGTTGTCCAAACGATCAATTCACATACGAAATCGCAGCGACACTTATGTGCTCCTCTGAAATTGGTTTGTCAGTTATTTTCAAGAAATTTTGTAGACATTAAAGCAATACGTAAACCATGTAAACGTTTTAAAAACCTATTGTATTTATTGTGATAACATTGACGGTTTGTCAATTCATAATTACATCGTTTGTTACTTTTCTTTATGTTATGATTCTTTAAACGGTCATTATTACAGTCATCTTTAACGGTATGTGAACTGCAAGATCAAATTTACGATATTGTTTAACGTTCTTGAAAACCAATTCGTCGTTAAACTTTATTTAATTTCTGACATTTTTCAGAATTTCTATTTTACTTTTCATTCTTAAGTGCTGCTTCATAAGTTGAATATAATTTTTTTTTTAGGTAAAGCTGGAAGGTGCTTGGAGACTTGTTCCACATGAAAATTTGCTCAAATATAAGGACACAAAAGATGAAGATGGTTTTGTACCAAATTTGGTTGCCAAAACCAAAGCTGCATTTGCACATTATCAATTGAGATTCGTTACAAAACCAGGAAATGCTCTCTATGAGGTGTTTTTTCTTTTTTTCTTTTTTTTTAAATCTTGCTAGTGAGCTAATATCTGCAGAATGATCGGAAACATTATAATCATTATTTCCCAGTGATTTCGTGTCAATCAAAATCTTTCATAGGTCCTTCAAAAAGAGGTTCACATGCAATATGTGGGATTATTATGTGTGCTCCATTCATCTGTTAAGCTATGAGATTTTGATCTGCTCAGTCTTTGCAACACTTTTCAATGCTTTTTGACTTGCTTAGATCAGATTGCGATGGGTAAACCGAGGTCGAGTTTTGTTCAAGATTGCTGATATTGGTATCAAGGCTTCATGTATTTGATCATGTGTTGAATCCCATCATTCGTGTATTGCAGGCAACCGTACAGTACGATATGCTGGAAAATACAGTAACTGTAGATATGACGTCAATCAGTCATGTCAACAGATATGGCGATTTATCCCACTGTGTCATGAACATAAACTATTTTTTTAGCACCGTATTGTGTTTGTTATGATAAGTTGGACGGTATAATCAGTTAATTCATAACCATCAAAACATCTGTTGTCTTCATGTGTTTTTTCGTGTTACAATTCCTTTTATAACAATCATTATTTCGATTTGCAGTTACTTATTTTGATTTTGCAGTATTATAGGTTGCTGATATTATTTGTACATTATTTTTTCTCGTGTTACCATTCTTTTCAGTTTGTTGTTACAATTCTTATTGGAGGACCAGCACTTGCATGACATTGAACCAAATATTCTTCCAAGTTATTATTATTTAT